TCCGCCTCACGCGCGCACACCCCTCGCGGCCCGCACGCTGGCCTTCCACACCCGCGCACACTCCCGCCCGGGGGCGCGGCGACCGTGCCGAGGCTGCTGCAGCGCCGCCCGCCGCAGACCCTCCCGCGCCCGCCGCGCAGTCACCCGGTCCCGGCCGCCGGGGCTCTGATAGTATCCGCCATCCGAGCGCAGGCTGGATTCCCCAGCCCGGCCGCCGCTCGCGCCGGGGGCTGGGAATGTCGGTAGTGAAGACTCCCTGGGGCTCCCAGCCCCTCCCCGCCGCGCACCACCACTTTTATGAATTCGACTCCACTTTCGGAAGGAATTATGAGTCATATGGAAAACCCAAACCCGAGTGGCTGGGAGGGAGGGAAGAAGGGAAAAGCAAAAGCGTTCAAAATGGAAAATAAATAAAACGAACAAATCTTTCCTTGTTGCCACATCAGGCAAGATGGAAAAAGCCTTGAAATGCCTCCAGACGTACACCCTCCCGTGCCCTGACTGCCAGAGTCTTTTTCTCCCGGATGAAAGTAGTTCAGTCCCTTTGGAGCGCCGTTTAGGAAACACAGCCCCTTTTGAGGGACGACTTCTACTTGCAGAGACTCACCAGTTCTTCCCTGCTCTGTGTTTCCGTCCATGAAAAATTGGCAGAATCATCTGGCACGTCCCAGGGTCTCCCTAAAGGATGGATATCTGTTTGGCTTGTTTTTAAAAGCCACTTTTTCGCCAATCAAGGGAAAGCTTCTACAATCCTGTTTGGTTTAGAAATGAGATACTGCTCTGAGCCTCACTTTCTGTTCTGCCTAAGAGCACCTTGGGCTGATGTAGCTGCCCTGCCTCTTTACTGCCATATGCCCTAGGACAGGCCTCTAACAGCGCTTTGCTTGTTGATCTTTTCTCCACTGAGACTGCTTCCCTGAGCAGACCACGTCTCACTTGGTTCTGCATCCCCAGTGCCTAATACAGTGCCTGGAATATAGGAGCGAGGCTGAAATGTTGGCTGAATGCATGAATGGTCGTCCCTTCAACCTCTTTATGGATACTCCAGCTTCAGTCTGCTTCCTTATCAGTATAAGTACCCAAGAGTTGTCAAACTGGCTCAGACCCTTAATCTGTACAGTTCTAATACTGACAGTGACAATGTCTTTAGGAGAATTAGGAATGACTGTGATCCCTGATGGATTCTTAAGATTCTAGAGAGACAAAAGCAATGAGAAATCATATGCTACAACTCCTCTATCTTGCAGAAAGAAAACACAAAATGATTTGTGGTACGCCCTGGAATACATCACATTCGTTGTGCATTATAGGAGGAAACATTCCTCTGCATTACCTGGACCACTGCAGTCTTTGATGTAGTAGAGGCACAGTCACGGTACATCTGCTCACATCCTTCCTGAAATGCTTCCTGACTAGGGCAGGACGGGTTCAAGTCCTTCCTGAATATGCTGCTTTGTGTAGGCCCCCTGGCTACCAAAAACACTTTCTTCTCTTCCACATAACACTGGGTATCATGCGTACTTCCTCCTTCCATTCTGTGCCCTAACGTCTCTAAAAACTTAAAATCTGTTAACTCACAAGAATTTATTTTATAGTTGTCTATCCATCAAGCTTGCATTCCCAAAGTAAATTTGAAATCGTTTTCAAGGTACCAGATGTTTTTGGTCTGGCCCACCTCCTGATTAACCACTCACTCCATAAAATAGGCCTTGTGATTTGTCCTACATTTGATTTTTTTCTTCAAGCTTCACAGGCTGCCCTGTTTTGGTTAAACAAAGCTAACCTCACTCTGTTCATGCCCTTAAGGTGTGATATATTTAAATATTTTTAAATTTTAAGGGATAATAAAAAAATTAAAAACTAACTTTTCTATCTAGTATGCATTTCTACAAGATAAGTTTCTCTCATAAAAACTACCAAGGCATCAATGTTCCTATGCTAGATCTTTATGGCATGATGCTTTCAAACTCTGCTCATAGCCAGCATCCCGTTTACCCTGACTCATCTCAGACTCTTATTTAAACATTTAGATTATTCGTGGTCTTATTAAAAACTATATGTACCTTTGAGATGAGGAAGAGGTTATATCCCTGCCTTAAACACTTCTGTGCAAACACACACATTCGCATGCATTCAGGAACATAGTGCATACAGGCCCTTAATCACTTTGTTAAAAAAAAAAAAAACATTATTCTTGATGAGAGAGAACGTCTGTGGTATGCCGTAGTAATTGGAAATAATACCCTATGTGTTGGATGATAGAGTCTAGCCAAAAAAAGTCCCACTGGTTTAGAAAAATGATCCCAAGCCAACAGAGAGGGTTTACTAGAAAGAAAATGTAAATTCCTCACCTATGCTAAAAGACTCAACTGCAGAAGTGTAAGGTAATGGAAATGTGGCATTAAGTTCAACGGTGTGATGTGGGTATTAATAATTCACACTTATCCAGAACTTAGTAGTGCAGCCTGACACTGCTCTAAATGCTTTACATATGTTAACTCATTTAATTCACAATAACCCTATATGGAAGCTGTCCTATTATTATTCACATTTTACAAAAGAGGAGACTGAGGCACAAAAGGGTTAATTAGCTTGTCTAAGGTGGGACTAGATGGCAATGAACCTTTTCTTCTCTCCAAACCTTTCAGCAGTTGAACTGAACTTTAAAGAAGATAAATGTTCAGAAGTCTCACTGCTGAGTAAACTGGCCCCACTAATGGCAGCAGGCCAGGACCCAAGCCAACAAGAAGCCCCATAATGGATTCTGAGGGATGCCTGGAGCCTATGGGCTCTCAAAATAGCCTCTTCTAGTTGCAGTTATATTTCTCTTTCCTGCACTGAACTTCCTTTCCCAAATGAATCCCAGCCCTCAGTAAAGTCTTAGTAAAAGCCTGACCTCTGCTATTCCCTGGGGATTAAGAAAAGAGGGTGGGACACAGGATTAGCAAAGAGAGCAGCCCTCTTTCCTAAATACTTGACGGTGTTATCAGTAGCAAATGCCATGGGAATGCCCAGCAGGCTTGGTCGACCTTGGAAACAGCGCTGTGATAATTTGTGGTAGAATCAGAGTGAAAAAGGGAGAGGTTGTGTCGGAGGGGTCGCTATGGGAATGGGTCACCAAGGGCCTTTAAGCCAGAGTGGGGAAGTGAAATTTAATTTGAGAGAAATGGGAAGCCACTGGAAGGAAGGCAATCTCAAAGCTCTTGTCAATTATTAGATTTATATAACTTCTTCTTGCAATTGTTCTATAATGGAAAGGAATCCACACAATTCAAAATCTCTGCTAGCCCCAGCTGGCCTCTTCTAAAAGAAGTGGATTTGGGCAGTTTGTCACAAAGCAGCTAGTAGTTTCGCTTTGAGAGATACTAATCCTGCTATCTTGACCTCATCTGATTGGCCTAGCAATCAAAGTAGGGGCAAACCAAAGTCAACCTTGAAAATGGAGAATTTTAGGTGGTTTGATATGAAATTCATCTGAATTTAATCCTTAACCCACCCCTAACCTAAGGTCAGATGGGGCAGCACAATGGTCGTGTGGAGGTTTTACGGCACTTTCTAGCAATCTTAATGAACTTAACTAATATCAAAGCTGTAGTGTGAAACCTGAACTGCTCTTTCTAGTTCCAAGTTTCTCTTTAATTTAGTCCCATTTGTCTCTCATTAAACTTTAATTCCCGTTTCTACCATAGATGCATCCTTGGCCCTAGTTAGATGAGATGCGTCACCATCCCATGCAAACAAACTCATTAAATTCCTCAGCTTGCACTCAATCATATTAATTCTACTTTCTTTTAAATACCTCTCCTTTGTTTATTTTTTAAAGTGCATAAATACTGCATGAATATATTCTCAGTGCAAACCATTTAAGACATGTATTTGTACAGAGAGTAAAATGTGAAAATTCCCATCTATCATAACCCCTAATTCCACTCCTCCTTCCAAAGGTAACTGGTATTAATAGTTATAAGAGAATCTTCCCCTTCTTGGTTCTTGCATTCATCTATCCACACACAAATGTACATATATTCATAGGTTTATACATATACATTCTAATTTAAAAGGAACCACGTAATACACATTGTTTTGCAATTTGATTTGTCCACTGTCTTGGAGAACTTTCTCAGTCAGTACAAAGAGATCTAGCTCATTTCTTTTAGCTCCTGCAGAGAATTTTATTGAATGAAATAAAATATATTTTATTGAATATATTTTAACCATGCCTCTGCAGTCATGATGGGCTTTTGAGAATGTTTTGTGATTAAAACAATTTGCAATAAATGCACACTTTATGCAAAGTTTCAGCTGTTTCTTTGGGTAGATTGTTAGAAGTGGATTGTCTGAATTACAGGGAACTGGCAATTTTAAAATTTGATAGGTACAAGCAAATTGCTCTCAAAATTATTTTATACTCTGCCAACTGTTTTTTGCGAATACCTAATTCTCTGCAACATTTCCAACAACAGGCACTATCAATCTTTAAATCTTTTTCTAATTGGTTGGATGAAAAATACTTGCCTTGTTTTTATTTGTACTTCCCTGATTGTTAGTGAGGTTGGGCATTTTTTCAAGTGTTTATTGGCAATTTGTAGTCTTTTGAGTACACAAGTATAATTGAGTATGACTGCCTGTCATAGGCTTTCTCTATTTTCCTAATGGTTCTTCTGAATTTTTATTATTTTTTTCCTAGGAGGTTTTATATCTTCTGGATAGCAATACCTTTTCTCTCATAGGTACTCTAGTCAGAAGTTTTAAGTCTTTATTAAAAACAATAATAAAAAAAATTTAAACTAACTCCTTTAAGACCACATACTCTTTTCTTCAAAAAAATCTCTCCTGATTTTTCCAACTCACTAATATCTCCTCTTCTCCAGACTCCCCATTTCTAGACTGTAAGTTCCTTGAAGGCGGGAACTAGTTTTACTCATTTCAGTAACCACTGCAGAGCTTACAAAAGAGCCTGTTTTAATATAATGCACAGTAGTTTAATGGATAATTGTTGGATTGACTTGAAGCCTTAATTATTGTCTTTTATTGCTTTGCTTTAAATTCCTTGAAATTTAGATTTCCCCTGTTACTTACTCTGTTTCCACCGACCATAAATAGCTCCTGGCACATTGCTGAGTATATTGGAGGTACTCAGTACATATGTATTGATTAATTGATTTCACTTTGTTATGACCTTCGACATTTCATGCTTTCTTCTGAAAAAGAGAAGCATTTCCCCAAGAGCGTCCCACGAGATATTAATTTTATATTATATAATGAGATTTCCCCCCAAAGTGGTTCCAGATTCAAGTAAGTTTGAGGGAAAGTGGATTAAGTAAAGTTAAATAGGCTTCTCTCTAATTAATGCTGAGCCTGTAATACACCTAAGAGGGATATGTGGCATATTTAAACAGCTTTAGATGACTGAGCACTTGGGGTTTGCGTTTGTTTGTTGGCAACGAATTGTGTTCCATGTAATTTCAATATTTTCTCAATTCAGGTAAAAACTTCCATTATATGTTCTTTTTCTTCTTTACGATATTAACTGTGGAACAACTTTAACCCTCATCCCACTGGGCTTTGGAGTAAAAGAGTCGGGATCAAATTCTGACTCTCCAACTTACTAGAATTGGAAACTTGGGCAAGGTATCCAATATCAATTTGTCATTACATAAAATCTCAGTTTTCTTATCTGAAAAATGGGAAGAACAATGGCCCTTAGCCATTAACAGTTGAAGAGGTTTAAATGAGATAAGCCCACGTAAAGAGAAATATAGGAGTTGCTTAGTAAGAATTA